GCCTAAAAAATGTTTTGACCCATAAAACTCATAAAATCCTCAAAACTAAACCCTAATACAATATAGAACCCAAAAATAAATGATATAATGAAATTTTTTTTGAAACAGTGGCATTTTTGCAAAGATTTTGAAAATGTGCCATTTTTAAAAAGTAGCATTTTTAAAAAACATTTCAATTTTTTTTTTATATGTTTTATGAAAAAAATTTCCCAAATTTATAACAACAAATATAATTATTCTTTAAATTTTTTTTTCACACAAGACAGTTTGAAAGTAACAAAAAGATTTTTTAATTTGAAAGTAACAAAAAACATTTTTAATCCGTATTTCATATATAAAATTTATGTTTCTATATTTTAATGTTTTAAAATATTAAATATTTTTTTTTTTGTATTCTAAATTCTACTTAAGATATTCGGACAAGCCAAATTTAACATAATTTATACTTATGATACAATTCAAATAAATATGAGTTGTACATATTTATTTAATAAATAAATACTCTTTAAGCTATTGGTCTAGATCATTTCTATTTCTATAGTAAATTTCATCTTTTATATATAAAGTTACAAGAAAATAACAACATATCAATATCAATAAATCTTTACAATTTAAGTAAANTTAAAAAACATCAAATCTAAGTGTCCAAATTCGCAATTGAATCTAACAAAAAACAATAATATCCATAGTAAATATTTTCATTTTAGATGTTATTCAAAAATAAAATAATTTACACGAGTTTAACCAAATGGATATTGAACACAATTGATCACAATATGTCATGTTTTGTTTTGTCAATTTTTCAAGCTTAAAAGGAATTTACACACAACAGTAGTATTTTGGTGTAATGTGTTAACGAAAAAATCGACACTTCAACATCAATAAAAATGGAGAAACTTTTAGAAACGATAAAATCTTACTTGATTATTATGATATAGAATTGGATCCAATGACCAATTCAATTATTTTCTGTTAATCAAATTGTAAATGAAGTTATTGTTAGTGTTATTAATGAAAATAAAATTAGTGTCAACAAACAGAAAAAAATAAAAAAAATTATTTCATATAAAGAAAATTGAACTTATATTCAAATTGAACATCATTAATAATTTTTAACTAAATAATACTTTTTTTTAATCTATTTGATTTCTAAAAAATATTTAACCGCGTGTAACGTGGGGAGTCACCTGGTACTATATATATATATACTCAAGTTTTAATGTAAAAATCTCTATTAATATTATGTAGGGATGCATGAACCGGCGAAACCGAACCATACCATGGACCGACAAGACCAAACCCCGGACCCATGATGAGACCAAACCATGCATGGACCAGCGAGACCAAACCAGGGCGGAGGAATGTTAATTAGTGTCATGGAGTCCGACAAAGTCGAGGGCATATTTCGTGGGCTAAGGACGGTTCGGCGACTCATCGGTCAATAAGTTTCATGATTTTCCATAATCGAGTTACATATATATATATAAATTTGTTTTTACCATAGCTTCACTTTGTGGGTCGTTCATAACTGAGAATTGGGTATTAATATTATCGGAGACGTGCATGAGTTTGAGATACATTATTTTACTATATATACTTTGTGTTCCTCTTCCCTTGACAATTATGGAAATATGTGTTGGTATTAAGTAATTAGTTATCCTGTAGCCATACCAGTAACACTAACCAAATTGCAAGGCGCTCTCACGCTCGTCTCTGAGAATTCTTCACCCTCTTTCTTCTTTGTTCAAGGACTCTTCCGCCATGGGAGATACTCCGCCTCTTCAAGAAGTACCTCCAGATCTGTTATTTCTTAGTTCAGATCCGATTTTAACCCATGTACCTGTTCCAGATCTGGTCGTTTCTCGTCTTCAATCAGTGGATAGTACCTTGGTTTTGCCGTGTACCTCTCCTCGTGCGGTGCCTACGGTCCCTCTGTCTAGTCCTGTAGCTACTTCTCCTTGGATTTCAAAGTTTAAATCTTCTTTTCATAATCTCTCCAAAGTTGCGTCGCCGTCCTTTTCGGATGATGGCACTCCAATGGTCAAAGCTCCAGCCTCAATTACCCTCGGTTCCTCTCAGATTTGGAAAGATCATTTGGTTGCGTATTTTCATGGAATTCCTCCTTCTCCGGCAAAGATTTTTTCAGACCTAAATCCGATTTGGGGAAAACAAGGAAGAATCTCTGTCAAGCATCAATCGGCAAGGATTTGTCTTATTTACATCCCATGTGCAATCACAAGACAATGGGTTCTTGATGTTGGTTTTTGGAACTCCGGAAATTGCTCATTTACTGTCTCTCCGTGGTCTCCTTCTGCTGATCTTTCCCCAATGAAATTGGTTCATGCTCCGGTATGGGTCTTGTTCAAAAAGGTTCCCCCAGAGCTTTGGTCATTAGTTGGGTTTAGCACTATTGCTTCTGGTGTGGGAATCCCGGTTCACTCAGAATTTCCAAAGCTGAGTCCTTATTCTAATGGAGTTGTTAAGCTAAAGGTTGTTGTGGAGCTTGAGAAGAAACAACCCAGTTCCGTCATAGTCACTGATAATCTCGGAAACTCTGTTATGGTGTCTGCTGAGTTTCCAAAGCTTCCTCCTCGGTGTGGTTCGTGTTTGGAATTTGGTCATTTGGACCTTCGTTGCCCTACTCCAGCTGCCCGTGCCATATCGCCGGTTCATCCAACGCGTGTAAGCCCTTCTCCTCTGGATAATGTTGGAGAAAATTTCAACGCTTCTTCTATGGCTCCGGGTATCAGTATTTCAGAACAGCATGTTCCTGCTGTTGTTCGTACCAACAATTCCCCATCTTTTTCATTGGGTGCAAGCGAAGCTAGCAGTTCTGGTGGTTGGCTTCGTGTGGTCAATCGGTCAAAGCCTCGTTTATCATCTTCTGAGTCAGCCTCTAAGTCTATCCATCCGGTTACTTCTGCTACGTTTGCAGAAGAAGAGGACATGATTAAGGCTGCTCAGGTTATTATGCGTCAAAGAATTGCAGATTTGGAAGTTCAGGCTCCATCTTTTGTGTCTGCCTCTGTGAGAAAAAAGGCACGGAGAATTCTAAGACAGAAGCTCCTTCTTTTATCTGCGTCAGAGCCTTGTCTGGACCCTCCGGTTGTTATATCTAAATCAGTTTCTACAAGTTTCAATTCTAGGTCTGTATCTAAGGAACAATTGCGTCTGCAATCTGTTCCCTTATCTAACGTTTAAGTGCATAGCACTAACCTCTTTTGACTTCTTATGAAGTGCTTCTCCTGGAATGTACGGGGCCTTAATAGCGATGCAAGGAAGCTATCTATTAAAAGGTGGATTACCACTAATCGTCCTATTATAGGAGGACTTTTGGAAACTCGTGTTCAGCAACAAAATTTGGTTAGTATGATCAGTCAGATTGCTCCTGGTTGGCGGTTTACTACAAACCACTCTCTAGAGGCAGATAATGGAAGGATTGTTATTATTTGGGAACCTTTTCTATCTGTGGTGGTTTATCTCAAGACTTCTCAGTTGGTTTTATGTGGAGTTCACAACCCTACTACAAACAAAGCGTTTACAGTTGCATTCCTCTATGCCAAGAATAGAACCGTTGAGCGTGTACCCCTTTGGAATCTTTTAAAGGAATTGGCAGCTTCTTCTCTCCTTCAGAATTCACCTTGGATTATTATGGGAGACTTTAATCAGGTCATCTCTCTCTCGGAAGTCTACTCCCTCTTACCAGCCACCGTATGTATGCAGGGCATGACTGATCTTCAGGAATGCCTTTCATCATCTGGTTTGTTTGATTTATCTCCTAAAGGATGCTTCTTTACTTGGACCAACAAAAGTTCAACGAATCCTAAGGCGAGGAAGCTTGACAGAGTGCTTGTGAATGAGAAGTGGCAGGATATTTATCCGGATTCTAATGCTTTCTTTGATGTACCTGGTGGTTCTGACCATTCACCGGCTCTTGTTACTTTGGAAAACGGCCTTGGTACTAGAAAATCAAGGTTTAACTTCTTCACCTTCTACACTTCTCATCCACAGTATTCTCACTTGATGGAGGTTGCTTGGAATTGTCAGATTATTGCGTCTAGTCCGATGTTTTCTCTATACCAGAAGCTTAGATCGGCTAAGCTTTGTTGCAAAGGTTTAAATCAACGGAGTTTCAGTAATATCCAGTCTCGGACAAAGCTAGCTTTTGAAAAGCTTGAAAACATTCAGAGGCAGGTTCTCATTAACCCTTCTCAGAGTTTATTTGAGGAAGAAAGGGTGGCAAGAGATGATTGGCTGCTTTTCTCTTTAGCAGAAGAATCCTTCTTCCATCAGAAGTCAAGAATTCGGTGGCTCTCCATGGGAGATGCTAACACAAGGTTTTTCTATCGAGTTGTTCAGGCTAATTTATCCAGGAATATTATCCATTTTCTAAGGGACGAGGCTGGCTTGAAAATCACAGATCCGGTGTTGATAAAAGGAATGGCCTCTCAATTCTATTTAGATTTATTGGGGACAGCTAATGATTTTGTAAACCCTTACTCAATCTCCCAGATTCAGAATCTCCACCCTTTTAGATGTGATCAAGCTCTCTCTCTTCAGTTATCCCGCATTCCCACAGACGTG